TTCTAAACACAATGCTAGACTAATTACTCATTATCTGAAGTCCATTCTCTTAAATGTAATTCATCAGACAAAAGTATTTAATCGTATTGCTGTGATAGAAGAAGGGAGAAATCATCAAAGGTTAATGAGTTTTGCTCAATTTGATTTTTAGATTTTTCTTTGGGTCGTCCACGACTAGTAGGATGCATTAACCGTTTGTGATACATCAAGTATGTAAGTATCAGAAAGTATTTGTTACACTTGGAACAACTAAGGTGTAAATAAGTTGTTTCATCAAGGGATAGACAATGTGAATCATAGTTAGGAATTTTTAAGAGATTATAGTACTCAAGAAGATGTATAGGATTGATGAAATGTCTATCTTTAGCTTTGGTGACCGGAGGTAAAAAACCGTTATTTAGCTGCAAAAAATCCATGGCGTCTTTTGTGTGAGGTGGTCCACAACAACTTGTATTCATACACCGCTTTATATCAAGGGAATATTGGTATAAGTTACAATGATTTTCAATTCATGACCATGGTATAAGGCACTCGGTTAAGTCGTCTTTTTTTTGTTTTTTTTTTTGATCTTTTTTTTGTTTTTCTCTATTTTGTTGCTCAAGTTCTTCTGCTTTTTCTTTGTCAGTACCCTCAAACTGCAAATTCTCAAATGAGTTTGTAAATTCTTCAACATACTGTGCATTTACATGCTTTTCAAAAATCAAATCATAACTCCAAATATTGCAGAGAGCTTCTCCAGCATATTTGAAATTTTTAAGGGCCAACTCTGGGTTAATTACTTTACCCTGAGAATTTAGATACGTTCCAAAGTAATCAATTAGTAATACAACGCCTGCCAATTTACCAGAAAGCGTCGCCATTCCTCTCTCAACAGGATTATATTTGGATTGTCCTGGGTATTTGTTCTTATAGTCAAATAATCCAAATTGAACTTTCGAAAAAGCAAACAATATGACTTAATGTTTTTTAGGTGTCTTGGGTTCTCATCTGGTCCCCCGTCCACTAATAATATCCAGATTGGTCAAATATCTCTATTAGTTTTTAACACAGCATTATATTGGGGATTTAAAGTAAGACTTTCAAGATCATGAATGTGCGTAAGTGAAGATGTACTGAGAGACCATTAGCAGCATACAAAAATGGCAAGCTGTCCTGTTCGTAGCTCATCATTTGATTCATTTGGGTTAATTATAAGGTATACTGATGGAACTAGTTTTTGGTCAAACCCTATAGAAAAATCATGATCTGGTACACAAATAGGATCATTGATTGATTGCAATCTGTGAAATATTCGACCTACAGCAAGCACGCCGAGACCTATCTTCGCTTTATCATCTTGAGAGATGATTATTGACATATTAGCAAAAACGAACACAAATTGTTTTGCACATTTAATGGATGCAAAACAATAGTGACTATCAGGATGTTTATGTGTCTCAGTACGTGAAACACCAGCAACCGAGACCCACGCTGGATGATGGTGTGCCTTCGCGGCAATGGAATTGGACTAGCAAGATAATAAGTAATTATTTAATATTGTTCGTGCCATGTAGATGCCATAATTCTCTTTAAGATTTTTACGTAAATTCTCTATTATCCGCACTTTAACCACTTCTTTTTGCCGTTTTTTATCAGCTGAACCAAATTTAACTTATTCATGAATATTGTCATGTAGGTGTAGATATTTAAAAAGAAGCGATGGGCGACCTGGCCAATCGTATTTAATTACTTCCTGATTTTTGATGAGTAATTTTTTTTTTCTCTTTACAGTTTTAAACATATTTTGTATTTCTTTTTAACTTGGTGATTCTATCTTTATTAGCTTTTACTTGTTTTTGAAGCTCCTCTATTTTTGTATA